CCCCAAAACCCCAAAACCCCAAAACCCCAAAACCCCTTTTTTATCTAAATAAATTGAAAATATGGACTTCAAAGTGTTAATAAAGATGATGGCTGAGCACAATCCTCCAAAGGTATTCTTAATGAAGACATTAGAAATCTTAACGACTATAGGAAAACCACCTGGAATCGAGCTCTACAATTAAATGGATGCAAAAACGGTTTCATAAAACTGCAAAATCAAAGTATTTAGGTGGAAAAGGGAAGGAATATACTGACAAAAAGTAAGACTTCTAACCAATCTCTCCTTTATTCTTCCTTATAGAATCATTCAGCAGTATTAAAAGATCATAACAATGGGAGTAATGCCTTAGAGACAGAAGAGCCTGTCCTTAGCACAGGTCTCACTCCTGTTTCATCAGCAGCTGGGCTGACTGCCTTTCCTTCAATGCATCGAAGGAATAGCAAGAGTATAGTCAGTCAAGCTATTCTAGGGAGGTCTCCTGTAAAAAATACTCAGGTAATTCTCTAAAAATGTCAGGAGTTCAAAATAATTATATAGGAAATAAAATTTGATAAAGACCTTGAAAGCTTAAAGAAAATCGATGAACAAACTGCTGATAATATCGTTGGATATTTTGACAAATTTGTGAGGAGTACCAAGATGCTTGACTGTAATTTCTCAGTCATCTTTAGGCGAAGATGACAATCATAACTCAAGAATCAGGAAAAATTCACAATTTCGAAATACTAAGGAGAGTAGGAGAAGGTTCTTTCTGCAAGAGAAGAAACGTATACGTGGAAGAAACAAAGAGGTACCTCGACTGAAGAAAAGAATAGTTCAAAAGTAAGTTGTATTTATTAGGTTTAGTAGGAAAAATTACACACAAACTCAGAATAATTCTCCCTAATATGAGGAATCAGGGATCTTTGAGCTGTTTAAAGCCAGGCTCTTGAGTAAATTCGTTACAATATTCGTTGCTAAATAAAGCTTATAAGCAAAAATAAATTAAAGAAGGATAAATATTGGGGAATGGCAGCTGATAAACATGAATTAATTACCAAAGTTAAAACCCAAATGGAGAAAAGAAGATCTCTTATGAAGCAAAAGAACTCTGTTAGTGTGCATACTTTTGGCAAGCACCACAGTAGGAGTACAGGAAAGATAGTAAATAAAGCCCTTTTTATCAATAAAAAGGTAGAGATTTAGTATTTTATATTTAGATGATAAAATTACATGGGAATAAACCGCAAAATAAAGATGCTAAGAAAACTATTCAGCCGATCTCAGCGAAATAACATAATATTTCTACAACTTATTACATCTTATAAAAATAAAGATTCATTTTCAATATTCCTGCCAATTTTCGGGGTTTTGGGGTTTTGGGGTTTTGGGGTTTTGGGG